CTTCCTCATTCCCTAACTGACCTGTCTTCTTGGTAGGAGTGTTATGATGCTGCTTGACAGCCTTGGTAGGTATAAGAAATGTACTGTGTGAACTTGAGTGCCTTTCATGTGCATATGTGTCTGGGTGTGTGCTCTTCCACCCTGAAGGCACTTCTGTGCCTGGGCACAGAGGTGTCTGTGACAGCTTTCAGTGCAACTCCTTTAGCCGTATGTTGGCAGCTCAGTGTTTCCTGAGTCCTGAGCACAAACACAGCAATGTTCCCAGGCTGTGCTTCCATATCTTGGGGATATCTTTCTTCCATTTCTGCACAGGCACATCTTTAATGACAGAAGGTTATTTCCCAAATGGCAAGCATTAGCTCCTAGCCTGAGAGAGCTTTCAGCAGTACTGACTGGCCTGAGTGTATATATATATATAAATTTAAATAAGAATAAAAGGTTTAATATTTTTTCTATTTAATCTCAACTCCAGCTTTTGCTCATTTTGCCAGTTTTGTTCAGACATCTGCTGCTTCATCTCAAAAACAGAGAGATGAATAGGCTCCTAATATTCTTCCTGCAGAAAACTGAAGTCCCCTGGGTAAAGGCTTTTACATCTTTAGATACTGACTCCGGGTTATCATGATGTCCCCAGAAGAACTGGAGCCAAATGAGTGGATTTGCTTATTATTGATTGTATTCTATTTTTTTTCATTAACGACCTCAACTTTAGGGGCAATTATTACCAGCTTTTCTAACTTCCTTCAGATATATTTCTGTCTATAGATTTTCTGGGCAGTTGCTCAGAACAGCAAGTTTTCATGTCTCCCCTGCAGCACAGCTGCTGTTCCTTCTAGGTGCAGCAGCTCTAATCTGATGTTCTTTGCTGGTGCTGTGTGCTGTACCTGTGACCATTCCCAGAGAATCTCCTGGATGGTTCATGTTTCTTTTGTCATACTGGGCCCCAATCGTGATCAAGGCTGGAGTGGTTTGAATGGAATGAAAAATCGATCTGTGTGTCATGCAAGCAACGTTTTCTATGTTCCAGCATTTAATTTGCCTGCTTTGTCACAGCAGTGTGCCTTGCTTAAGCCCTGTTCAGTTTTTAATCTCTGATAACCCCATTTTTTTCCTGCCCAGGCAGTTATTTTTCATCCTATTTTTGAACAGTAGATTATTTCTGTCCTAATTCCCTACCCTGCTTCTTTCTACTCTGTACTCGTCTGTGCTGAGTTACATCCTATTTCAAAGCATTTTTCTAGGTTATCAAGATCACTTTGAAATGCAGTATGTAAAGGCATAGGGGTTTGGAAGACAAATCTCCCCCTAGTTCATAATGCTGTTGTAAACTCTTGTGCTCTGATCTCCTCAAATCCCCTCCTCTATTCCCCAGCAAAAACTACGGAGGAATTTCTACAGTGGGTACCTGTGAGGAAATTACGAAAAAGCATGGAAGGGTCAGAAAGCTTGAATAGTTCCTCTGCTGACACAGTGGCTTCTAGCTGAGATGAGGAACCACCATAACTTCAAAGCCTTTTTTCACTTTGCTGTGGAAAGGTTCTTGGAACAGGTGTGGATTGAAAGACTCACTCAAATAAGCAATCCAGGACAGGCTGGATTCTGCATGGGTCTTGGAATAGGAAAGAGAGTTCCTTTATCCAGGGCAGGTATTTACAGTCAGGAAATAAAATCCAGTCTCTTACAAACCAAATAGTTTTCTGGTTCCTTAACTGTGTACTGAAATTAGTGGTTTCTTAGGAGTACTTCTGGAGGGCATAGAACAGTTACCTCAGCTGTTTACCAGAGGTCAGGAGTTGCCTCAATAAAATAGTGAGGGCAGTATTTCTAGCATCTGCATTGAATATGATCTGCTTTCCCAGAGATTTATAGTTTGTGCTTCACAGAGAGCCTCTAGAGCTGGCACAATGTGGAGGAGCCCCTGTTCTTTGCTTCTGGTCTATTTGTTCTGTGTCTTGCTTTCAGCACATTGAAGTTTTCGGAACAGACTCCATGAAACACTTAGAGTTATGCAGCTGGGTGAAAGAGGAGACCGCAGGACTTTCAAGTGTTTAAGAGAAAATTCATCTTGCCTCTTTTCTAGGCAATGTTAAACAGTGCAGAACCAGTCACAACTCTGTGATAAGACTCCACTCTGGCTTTATGCTGTTTCTCCATTCATAAACACTAATCAGGGTTAAACTGTTCATTTGCATTCACATGGGTAGTCACTGCAAATAAATGCAGGAGAGGATTCCAGGTGTGTGTCTGCCTGCCCTAGCTATTGACAGGAAAACAGGACACTGAAGTCACATGTGAGTCTGATGCTTGATGTGTTCTTGTAGGTCGCTCAGATTGTGAAGCACGAGATGGAAAACGCCATCCAGCTCTCGGTAAAACTGAACGTTAAAGTGAAAATTGGACCTAGCTGGGGAGACCTGCAGGACCTGGAGCTGTGACATGCAATGTGGCTTCCTTGTGCATGGTGAGGCAGAAGGCACTATGGACAAGGCCTGCAATCACCTGCTGGCAGGGTGATCCTCCTGTGTCATATTTCTACGGGTGTCATGGGCATCTACCTCCCGAAACACGTGGTAGAAGCTGGTGATCCTGTCGTATTTCTACAGGTGTCATGGGCATCTGCCTCCCGAAACACGTGGTAGAAGCTGGTATGAACTCACCAAGCCAAACCCTGCAGGTCAGGCAGCTCAGGGAGGCATGTTTACAGAACTGAAATGCTGAATTGCTAAAAGCATGGTATTTAAATGAATTCTGTTAAAATAAGTTTGATCTTGTACAAAAACCCAAAGCCTAAGTATTTCTACAGGTGTCATGGGCATCTGCCTCCCGAAACACGTGGTAGAAGCTGGTATGAACTCACCAAGCCAAACCCTGCAGGTCAGGCAGCTCAGGGAGGCATGTTTACAGAACTGAAATGCTGAATTGCTAAAAGCATGGTATTTAAATGAATTCTGTTAAAATAAGTTTGATCTTGTACAAAAACCCAAAGCCTAATGAATTTATTACGTATGAAATGAGATGGATTATTTTATTAAAACAAGGCACAGAGATAATTTGGCTGTTCTTGTGTGTAATTGTGTCTAGGACAGAAAAAAAAAGTCGTTTTGATTGCACTCGATGTAGAATTTTACAGGCCTCTGCCAGGATTATCTCATACTGGATTCTGCTGATGATACTCAGGTGCTGAAGTGGCTTTACAGCTGGCTGGATGTCTCACTGAGCAGCTGTGCAGCATTCACAGCAAGTGGAACCAGTGCTTGGTTAGCCTCTGACTTCAGAGAAAGCCTTTTGGTGACTGACTGCTGTAATTCATCCCACTGCTGCCTTGCAAACTGGCCTCAAGAGGGATATGTTTTGGACTCAGAGTTAATACAAAATCACCAGTAAAAACATTTCTTCTTAAAGAGCGAAACTCAATTTATTGGTTAAAAACTTAACAGCAATTCATGTTTTTGTGAAGAAATAAAATACTGGTGGTTGAGGTGGCAGCCTGGCTGTTGTTTGTGGTCTGGTGTGTTCTAGAAGATTTGCTGCTTGGTGGTAGGTGACCTGTGGCTCTTTGTTCAGAGCTCTGTCTCTGAGGGAAGCCTCACACCCTGCCTCTGGGTAGCCCTGCTAAAAACTGCTCAGATTGGCCCCAGGCTTTGCCTCAGTGTCTTTGACTCCAACCCCATGATCAGGCAAAGTTTTTCTGGGAGTTTGAGCTTGTTAAGCTGAGCTTGTTAAGTTGAGCTGACCTGAGCCTGACTCAAGTCAGCTGCTGGGATCAGATTCTTCAAAAGAGGGGGCAAGGAATGAGCTTGCAGGGAATTAATCTGCCACTATTTGGCATTACTTTCCCCACTAATACCTTCTGGTCTGGCTAAATCTCATGTCACATGTTTTCATTTCCCTTCCAGACAGCTGTGATGGTTATACAAGTTCAGCTGTTTTTGTTGAAGCTTCATGCAATGCCTGACCTTGAATTCTGTTATTTTCATCCAGTAGCCCTTGTATGTTACAAGAAAGGGAGGACAAGTGCCTCCCATCATCTTCCTTATGCTCTAATTATTGTATCATGTCTTTCTTCTGCAGTTCCTCCCTGATGTAATCAATCTCCATCTTTCCATTCTTGCCTCCTGTGAGAAATTTTCAAGCCCCTAATTATTCTTTCATTTCTGAACTTCTGCTGGATCCTTTTTAAGCAGTGTACTTTTGAAGTTGCCTTTATAGCCTGATCTGAGGGGATGCATACTTGGCTTTCAATAGCCTGAGCACGGGCTTGAGCTTGTTAACTTCAAATGCGGCGCTGCTGGCGTGGCCATTTTCCCGACATCAGAAGTACCCAGCACCGAGGTCTGAAGAACACAGTGACTTTTCAAAGCTGTTAATAGGGCCTGTGCACAAAAGGCTGCACCCCAGACTCTGATCCACCACCTGCCTGTTGTGCAGCAAAAGGGACATGTGGTATGGAGTCAGAGCCTGAGGTAAGGATGCCTTGACTGCCCTTCTCAGCACCAACTTGGTCTTCTTTCCCACAGGTGAGGATGCCTTGACTGCCCTCAGCACCAACTTGGTCTTCTTTCCCATTCTGTGTTGCACTTTACGCTGAGATTTTTTGTTTTCTTCCTGCCTGTGCCAGGCCGTGGTTTTCTGTGACATCTGTCACCTGAGCTCTTTATCCACAGCGTTCGGTTGATATGTTGTTTTTTCCCTTAGCTGATTACAGCTTTTGTTATTAGCAGGTCTGAGCCTTGGCACCCTGGTGCCTGACCATTTGTGTGCTCTGCCTGTGAAGATGCTGGGTTGGACTCATTATCAATTCACATGGCCTGATGGTTTCCTGTCCCTGGGTGTCATGCAGTGACACACCTGTGCTGTATTTCAGGCCTCACTGGAGCTGCTGTGATTTGGGTTGCTTGTTCTTTGGCACGTTACAATATTTTCCTCCCCCATACTATCTTCAGAATTTCCAAAGGATGGATCTCACGCATAGTTCCAAACAAGCTCTCTAGACAGGGCTAATGCTAATCGATAAGGGGACTGACACACACCTAAACTATTTTGCCTAGCAAACACAATGAGTTCATTTTAATTAAGCAGTAATTTGGAGCAAATGAGAAGATAAAAGGTAGCCACTGCTCTGTGAGCGAGGCAGCTGCGGCATTTGAGTCGTGTTATTAGGACTGGCTGTTGCCTGATTGCTGCTATTTGCATTCCTTAATTCTGATTAGACTTTAAGTGAGACTGAGCAGTGGAAGCAGAAGAGGGTCAGGGCAGGACAGGTAAGCAGAGGCACTGCCCAGAACTGTGCAGAAAAGGGTATGTGTTATTTTCTGAAGGCGCTAGAAGGAGTCTGGCTGCTCACATTAGAAACATAGAATCATAGAATCAACCAGGTTGGAAGAGACCTCAAAGATCATCAAGTCCAACCCTACCATCATTACTAGACCATGGCACTAAGTGCTATTACTTACCTATTTTTGTCTATGGGCCTCTCTTTGCCCACCTCTGATGGGCTGAGGCCTGTGTTTACATGGAAACTGGGTATTTTTCTAGTTCAGGACCTGATAACCAAAGTGTGGGTTACAGTCTGTCTCCTTGTGGACAGGATGGGATACATCTGATAGCATTGGGTCTCTGTTCCTCAGCTGGTTTGTGTGTGTGTCTCTCTCTTCAGAGTCCACTCCAGTCTCCTGTTAGCTGATGCAGCCTGAGGCCAGGACAGATGAATGTTGCAGAAGTGGTAGGAGTTCTGTTTGCTAGAACTCTTTGCAGCCTTGTCACTTGGTGTACACAGGATTGCTACTGCAGCCCAGTCCTGCCTTGTGCCCTGCGCTGCCCTTGCCTGGCTTCTGCACCAGCAGGTGGGTGTCTGTCTGCCAAAAGAAATTGGGTTGGGATCCAGTCCTGACAAATAGCTGTGGTCACCGGGAGCTCCTTGTCTTCACATCATGTGAACTTGCATGACCCAGCTCCTCACAGGGAGAGCCTGTCCCCTTGGGCTGCTGAGCAGCTCTGTGCTGTTTGCTTCTTATCTGCTTTCTTGTCAAAATGACTCAAATTTTGATTCAGCTGATGACTGGTGTAGGGCAGAACTTGACCAGCCTCAGTAGCAGGAACTCATGCCTTTGATGTTTGCTACAGCCTCTTGGTCTTTTTCCTCACATGCAGACCACAAGCTTGTTTTACCTTGATCTTTCTGCTACAGCTTTCCTTCTCTCCCTGCCTGCTGGAAGTGGTGAGAGGCAGCTGACCAATAATGACATGTAATCTGATCCGGTTTGGTCCTTTTGCCTTTCTCCTATGTTATTTGTGTTTCATCAAGAGAGTTGTAGAGATTTTCCTGCAAATACATAGCTAAAAAGAGGGAGGTGGAAGCTCAGTACCTCTGGCTGACATTTTAAGCCTCTGTGGCAGAGCAACTCAAACATGCTGTTGGGATGTGCCCTTAAACAAGCTCTCTCCTGCCCTTCTGAGAGCTCAGTTTGCACGCGACTGCTTTTAACCTGCAGTGGAAGTGATGTGGAGGGTGCTCTTGGTTGGCTGGGATGTGCAAGGGTGCAAGGTTGGTAATATTCCTGGGGGCCAGTATTGCAGTTATGAGCACTGTGTGAGCTGACATAAGCATTGGAACATTAGCTGGGGTATGGGTTTTATCCTTGCTGCTGGAGGAAGGGAGGTGGCCATCCCCACCCAGCAACAACCCTGGCTGCATGTTTTTGTATTCCTGAATGACTGAGTAGTGTAAACTCCATCCAAAGGCTTGACACATATCATGCATCTTTCAGGTACTATAAAGAATCTAGGAGTAGAGGTTGAAAGAAAAGAGATCTACACCAACTAATATCAATTCTTTCCTTTATTTTCTCTCCCTCTTTTTTTTTTTTTTTTTTTGGTTGTTACTGGGGACTCGAAACAGCCTCAGTTAAAGATGCCTTAGTTTTCCTTTTTTGACGCTGATTTAGGATACCTGTGGAAACAGGACATGGTTAGCGCAGGAATGTGTGCTTCACCCCAGATTAGCCTTCGTTCTGAGAGACAGGTAATGACTTGTTAACAAACCCCACACATATTCAGTCCACATTTCCTTGACACTGAATCTGAATATTTGTTGCTACTTAAAAAAGTACAATGTTTGATTGGTTGATTTAGTCACAAAACAAAACACATGAATGGAAACACTCAGTTACGTGACTATTGCTTATACACCTAAGATGAAGAGTTGACTACAAATGGCCACACGCAGTTCCTTAATGAGAGAGAGTGTGTTCTTACTGAGACCATACCAAGGCAATAAAACATTCAAGACTGAAATATGCTGTGCTTGAATTCACCTTTAGGCTATGGAAAAGGATGTATGGGGGCATGGCCCAGGGTGTTTAAGGGGCGCAATTAACCAAAATCTGGGGTTTTGCCTGTGTTACAATGCACACGGTTGATGACTGAGGAGGCTTGA